CATGGTGGAGGAAAGATGAGTTGAGACGGCAGTCAGCACGCGCCCGGTAAACTCATAAACTAGTCATTGATGTGAGTAATAATTTCTCTAATTATGTCTATAGTAGAGTTACGGATTTTTCTAATTAGTTTAAAATATGCTTAGGTTTGTTGGACCCCGTATGGTACCGATGCACATTACTTACATCCTCGGAGTATGTATTACGGCACGATACAGTTCATGGATATAGTGGAGCCGTACATGCCCGACCGAGCGTTGCGGCAGTTTGGAAGAGTCCAGACTATTCCTTTCCCGATAATTGAATCGAACTTGCCACATAACCGCGGCTTGTTTGGCGCGGGATACAAAGTCACTTTCCACGCTCCTGGCGGCATGTGGCAGAACGAGTACGCCAACTTCATTGACCTGTCGCAATACCCTGAAGCCTGGCCGCCGGAAACAGTTGCCGAGGAGTACATGAAGTGGTACATCGAGCGGACGCACCGGTTCATTAGCAACCCTGATACAGTTCCGCCTGCAGAACGGGTTGTTGCTGCGGTGCCGCCAGACCAGCCGTTCGCCAACGATGTAGCTCGGCTCCTAGTTCCGATCGTGTTCGGTTTGACTGGTGACGACGCAGCAGAGGCATTCCTGAGCATTCAGCCGCAGCTGAGGGACTTGTTGACGCCACATGCCCACTATTTGCGTCTCTTACCTAGGAGAGGTCGCGGGGGAGGTCCGAGGACTCGGGGTCGGGGGTCGAGGGGTGGACAGTAGTACATGTTATCGGATGGATGACAGCAATAATTTGTTGTGACGGCATCCGTCAAAACGTTTAGAGACCTTGTATATGGTATCAGTGACGGAATTAATTGTGCTTCGTGACGATGCTATCCGTGATAACAGATGTGACAGAATTAAAATATCCGTCACCAATGTTATTTGTGACGAGGGTTTTTCTGACAGACCTATTCGGTTACAACGTCGTCACAAAAGCTTATTTGTGACTGATTTTGTTCAATTTTGTGACAGACCTATTCGGTTACAACGTCGTCACAAGAGCCGGAAGAAGATTTAACTTCGGATTTCCGATTCATCGTGTGCTCATATCCGGACAAGTACCTCTTCATCGAGTTATTCTTAGGTCGTCCCTTGGCCTTCACAAATGACGGCTCTTGTAAATGCGTTGAAGAAGGATTATTTAGGTCCCGTAAATAGTCGGCCGCATTTTTTTGGGACATGTAATCTTTGTTTGATAACTTCTCGAACTCATCGAGAAGAACTTTCTTAATTGCAACTGTGCGATCAAACGGTTCCTCCTCGTCCTCCCATGGATCCGACTTTGGCTCGACAACCAACGTTCTCCAGAATGGATGTAACTGTTGCGGATAAAAAGTATCTCCCTCAGCAATTTTAACTGCAATCATACACGCACACGGGAGTTCGTGGGTTCGGCTTAGGTAACAGTTGCAACTATCCGGATTATTTTCCAATTTTTCGTACTCTTTATCCAACAGGTCCAGTGCTTTGTGTGATACGTTACATACCAAAGCACCGAAGCACGACAGTGAAGTACTGTACATCCTGACTGTTCTACTGCTTTCATTTTCCACCTTCAATTCATTAATTTGAAGGTCAACTTGCGCATCTAGTGCATTTTGAACTGTATCCATAGCTCCAGTCGATGTTTGGATCCAACGCTTCGATGCACGATGTGCACTCTCTACTCTGTTTCGAGAAAACACTCAAATAATGAATAAATGTAACATGTGTATAAAAGATTGTACGTAACGAGTTTATAGTAAAATCAATTTATATACCTGTTAGTCGTCGTGTTACCGAAATGAACGATGTTGTTGGTCCAACACTTAACAAATCTCTCCTTATAAATCAACCACGTTTCATTGATGTAAGTTATCAGCTTCGGATATTGCCCGTACAAACTAACTATCTCTCTATAGTTGCATTCGTACTCTTCCTCAGTCTCAGATTCGACTAACTTTGCCCACACCGTCCTCCGGAACAGTACACCCAACTTGGTGTTACCCAAGAATTTTGACGCGTTTGCCTCAACGTTTCTGTTTATGTGATATAAACATAACATGTGATGCGAATGTGGAAACACGTTTGGCAATGCTTTCAGTAGGCCCAACTCACGATCTGTCAGTATCACTTCTGGTTCTATCCCGATTGGTAATATGTCTCGCAAACATCGCAATGTCCATGCATAAGTGTCCCCATCTTCACGTGACATAAAAGCAACGGCAATAGTGAAGTTCCTTCCCACGGGAGTAACCCCAATGATCTCCAAAAGAGGCATTTCATATCTACATGAAGGTAATTATAATTTAGTCAACTCTTACATATATATATATATATATATATATATATATATATATATAATAAATGTAATACACATTTAAATAATTATTACCTGTTAGTCTTGTACGTGCATTCCATCAGGATGACGTATGGAAATAACTGCAAAAGCTTTATTGAATCAGGGTGCGCAAACATAACGTCTTGCACTGTATCACCAGCTGGATTTGTTCGATGCCATTTGTTGTATCCACTCTCACTTAGTTCGTGCCACAGATGTTGTATAACTGTTTTTCCTTTCATTTCCTCTCGTCTAATTTTCTGTGATTCATTGTACACTTCTCTCAAGGACGCAGCCGTATCCGGATTCATCTGCCTCAGATGATGCAAAATTTCCTTCGGCTTCACATGGCTCTTTTTCAGTATCTTTGTCACTTCTCGTTGCTCTTCAGTCAGGCGACTTAGCGAACGTAGTCCTTGTGGATATTTATGAGGATTATGATTGTGCTTGCCATTTTTGATGGTAAGGCGCCATAATCCATCACGACCCTCTTTACCCCATAGCGCAAAAGGGCATTTACACTTTATTGAACCGGACTTCCGGCTTGTTTCGACCTCTGCATTTTTTCCTCGACTCTTATAGGCTCTTTTGCAAGTTAAATACTGTCGGCCCTCGTGGTAAGACTGTCGCCTAATCTCATGTCCATGACTGATGGCCATATTCATCGCCCACTCGACTAGTGCATCTTTACTATCAAATGCAGTCGAAATTGTGAAAAATTCACTGAAATCATGTAGCTCGAATGTTTCAATATCTTCATCCACATCTATGTATACTTCCTGTTTTTATATTAATGTAATTAGCAAATTATAAAACTAAAGGATAAAACTAAAAAAAAAAAAAAAAAAAAAAAAAAAAAAAAAAAAAATTTTGTGGTGCTCGTGTGATTTCACACGAACAGAGAGGTTCTGCTCGTGTGATTTCACACGAGCAACCTCCTCTGCTCGTGTGAATCACACGAAGCCCCGCGAAAAAAAAAAAAATTGTTCTTGAGCTCGTATGAATTTACGCGAGCACTTGGCAAGTGCTCGCGTAACATTACCACGAGCACATGAATAAAAAATAAAATTCATCTACTCGTGTGAATTTACACTAGCACTTGGCAAGTGCTCACGTAAATTCGCACGAGTAGATGAATTTTTGGGAAAAAAACGAAAAACTTACATTCGGGTCTAAGTTGTTTGGATCCATCGCAAAAATTGTTGAATATCTGAAATTTTTCACTTTGAATGTTGAGTTTTATATTTTATAGGATTTGGTAGGAATAGTACAAAAGGTAAATAGTTATGGTAAAAAAGTAAAAAACCATGGTAAAAAAGTGCATGAATGTTTAATTTGGCCTGCGTATATCACCACCCTATTAAAAATTGTTACACTATTACGCTAATAGAGTTGCTTTTGGTGACTAAATAATGTTTTTTTATATTATCAATTTTGATTTCTAGAAATGGGTGGAAGCTTCAACCTTTAGTTTCATTGAACCCAACTTGGATTCCAGGTCATCTATTCCATAAATTGGCTATTCAATTTTCAGGTATAATTATTTGATTATTGTTCCTCTCCCAATTACCCTAAATGATTTATTTATATTTGTGTTAATAAGATAAAATTTATATTTTTTTTATTCTTTTCTCGTTCCTATTTACTCTCCGAGTATCGGACGGGTGAAATACTAGTATGATTAATTTGAGAATTTGTTATGAGAGAATATATTTTCTGGGTAGCTCATTATTCCTATTATTTAGCAATGGTTAATAAATCTTAGTTTTATTATTTAATTCAATCTCACTTACCTTTGATGCTCTCTATATGTGAAACTTTGTTACCAAAAGATATGCAGCCAAACCAAACCACTAAATAAGATCACACCAACTATTTTACTCTCCACAATTTATTTTCTCTTTTTTTTCAGCCACTTCCCATGTGAAACGGCACCGTTTCACTATATTCCACCAATCATTTACCTGCATCAATTTCTTTTTGATTTAATTTCAACTTGCATGATTGCAATCCGCCATTTTGGTGGGCCCATGAGTTTTTTTCTCCTCTGTTTCTCTCTCCACCGGAGAGAACATTTCCTCTCACATCTCTCTCTGACGCCGCGGCCGCCGCTCTCAAAACTCTACATATTACACCACGACTCGCCGCATGCTGACCTGGAGAGGCGGTCGACAAGGTCTCGCCGCTTCCGCCGTCGACAGCCATCGACGTTGCATCTGCTTCCACCTACCGGACAACTTCGCCACCGTCCCGAGATCGCATTGGCTCATTCCCCACTGGATCTCCATCTTCAAGAACAAACAAACCTCTTCGAACTGATGTTGCCATTGTCGATAATCGAGATGGAGGTGAGGAGAATGAATGGGTGTCGAGACTTATTTCGGTTGGGTTTTTATTGTTGGTGTTGTTGTGTGGGTTTTGGGCTTCAATTCTTCGAATTTCTTCAGTGGAGACATCCCTCGAACACCTCGCGTGCACTGTTTTTCCAGCTTCATATTCTTCTTCTCCCATTTTCACCAGCTGCCGCATTTTCTTCATATTGATACTACTGATCCTGTCGTTTTGTAGGTAAAGATTTGCGCGTATTATTTCCAAACGGTGCCGTTGGCTACCACCGTCTTTCTCTCCTATTCTACTGCCGTGGTTTGGCCATTTTCACCGCATTTTCCTTTTCGATTATTTTGTAAATCCACAGTTGAACGCCTTGAATTGTGTTTTCTTGTGAAACAGGTTTGATTGATTTTTATTTTTTTAATATTCGAATCTCTACTTATGGAGATGGTGTTTACCGGTGATATGTGTAGTATGTGTTTGGGTTATGCTAACTCGTGAGTTTTCTTCTGGATAGGTTACTCACATTTTTTAATTCATGAAATTCGATTTAGTTATTCACCACTAATCAATTATTTATCTTCAAACACATTCGAAACTATTTCTCATTTCATTTTCATCTGTAATAACCGTTTATTTTTCTACCGCAAATTCATTTTACGCCAAGTCAATTGGGCACCACAGCTGCGCCTTGTGCGGCGCACAACCACTAGTATAAGTATATATGCCCCCAAATCCCCTCCCTCTATTTACTTTTATTCTGAAACCCTTCATGGTATTCTTTCTCATCCTCTTCTTTTTCTCCAATTCTCCCAATTTTTATGTATTGGTATTGATTCGATCGATTTTATTTTACAAGCAACGCTTGCTCAACCAACCACAACTCTCGGTTGGAACGCTTCCACTGTTCTTTGTATTAATTTAATTTCTTCCCAGACTCGTCCGCCATTACAACTGTCCTTTGTTTATATTTGAGAGTTTTTCATGTTTTTTCTAATAATTTTCCGTACTTCGTACAGTCCGTCTTCTCTTTCTTATGAGCTTCCTTTTGCTTTAGTATCATCTTCTTATTTTTTTTATTACATTGGTGGTGACGAAATGAGGTGTTGTGGGTTTTGGCCTCAAAAGTATTTTAATGTTTCATCCAATAATGTTTCTGATTTTATACAAATTGTCTTTCCTTTTTTATGAATTTTCTTTTGGTTTTACAGTTTGTACGTGCTCAACAATTTGCTTACGAAACCTTACCCCGTCTTCCTGTAAAAATTCTTCATACCCCTAGCAAACTGTATTTGAGTTTCTTTAAATTTATTTGTGGAGAGACGATTCCTCCTATTCATTTGTTTTTACGATTATTAGGTGTTTCCTTTGGGGATTCTTCGTGTTAGCTCTTCCGTGTTCTACAACACCGTGCCTCATTCGTGGACGCAAAATCTCGAGATTTATGTCACTGTAGCCACGAAAGGCACATTGGTGTGGTAAGTGTAAACCCCGTATAACATCCCGAAAGCATTCTTCGATATTTAATCTAAAATTGTATTTTTCAGGCCTTGATTTTGCTCGTCAGTCTATGATTTGTCGATTTTAGCCTTTGCTTTTGCTATTGTTCGGATATTCTTAAATTTTTTTTATGGAACTCCTCTGTTTTTGTTTCTCTCTGTTTTGGTGATATGGTCTTATTCTTCAAACTGTTGCCTGATTTTTCCTTATTTTAAGATCATGCATTGTTGAAGTAGGTGAAAGCAATGAGGCAATTACAACTTAGAAAATTGAGGATTGTGGCAAACAAGCAAATGTGCAGCAAACCTCTGTAGCTGAATTTCTGGTTTGTGTTTCCTTTGCACAATTTTTCTTTTTACCTTTAATCAAATGAGGTCTGATGCTACGATTCTCGACTGGAATTTCAACTAATAAATGTAAACACTTCCATTGCAGATCTGCTCGTGGGGTCTCGTCTGGTAAAACATATTGAGGACTTGCACTTGCGCAACAATTGTATTAGGTGTTTTTTCTGTTGTTAAATTTTACAGTTCAGTTCCAATGACAAAAGATTTTTTTTTTGTGCTGCTAGAATTCAGCTATGTTCTATGATTCCATGCTCTCTTTTGTATCAAAAAATGATGCTTGTTTATTTAGTACAGGTTGATACTTTTGAATTTTTTTAATTAGGTTTAAGTGTATCATGTTATATCACTTTTATTATTAGCTGCAACAATAAAAGGTTTCTGATAGTTATATGAGTATTAGTTTTTTTGATTTTAAGCACATTAAAAGTGACATCTTGGCTTATTGTTTTTAGTTTCTTGTTGGTACAAATTGCTATAGATGGGTGGTTCTTTTGACGCTAATATGTTGGATTTTTTTTTATAGCCGTGGTAAGAGCAGGGAGTTGAAGCTATGGATAGAGCGCGTTTGCTTGGATTGCATTTGTGGGGCCGACCAGGCACCTGACTGCCGCCAATTTTTTGCCCCGTCTGGAGGATGCGTATGAGTTTCACTTTCACTATTTGAGTGCCAATTCTTAAAAATCGAATAATTGATGCATGTTTATTGGTTATCTGTGGTCTACAGAGGTTTTATAATTTGTCTGTGTTTCTCTTTTCATTAGTCATAAGTTGTTGCTTGAGTTTAGTTTTTATTTTTTTAGTTTATTGGGAGTTTTATTGAAGTTTTGGACTGATATACAAGTATTCTTTGGATGGTTATAATATTAAACTTGTATTCAATCAAACAGATCGACATTGTATACGTGGGAGACACCCTTAATTATGCATCCATGTACATTTTTATATTAATACGCAGTTTGCAGGTGATCCTTTCGTGGAAGATATCTCTAGACTGCACAACAACGATGTAGGCAGATCAAATAGGGTATAGTTTTTAGTTCTGATAACTTATTATGAGTTCTTTTATGTTCTTAAAGTTGGAAAGTTTATGTTGGCTGATTTTTCCATTTTCAAAAATTATTTTACCCAAACAAATAAAGTAATAGATTGAGCCACGATGTTGACAAGTTTGTAGAGCCAACCGATGCATACAGTGATTTGCTCGACAACCTGAATTGGTGAGTTTATATGTTTTCCCTTTAAGGTAAAACCATTTAGGTTCTCATTCTGGATCCAGGCGCATGGTTGAAGTGACGAAATAATTTTCTTCTTTGCCTCAATACATTTTATTTCTCCGGTATTCCATTTTCCTTATGATATGAGTCCGTGTTGCATTTATTCCGTATGATATTTCTTCAGTACTGTTTTTCAATTATATATATTAAACGATATTCAGTTTTCAGTTCTTTTATGTGGGATAGAGCTATGACGGATTTCTGCATGTGTGTGTGTGAGAGTGTGGATTACCTAACAAAATATGCTTGATTTGCAGTGTGAAAATAGCTAATTAGGAAAACAAGGACTTCTTTCAATGATATTTCCAATCTCTCTCCAAGGCCATGCATAGGGATGGCAATTTTTACCCGACCCGCGGGTACCCGCCCCGCCCCGAAATTTCCGGGTAATGCCCGCCCCGCAAATAAATGGGGCGGGTACGGGTTCTAATTTTTCACCCGAAAACGGGTTCGGGGCGGGTGCGGGTTTTTATATACCCGCCCCGCAGACCCGCCCCGT